GGGGGGGGCGGCCAAAATTGTTTTTGCTTTGGGCGGCAAAAATCCTAGAGCCGGCCCTGGATGTCACAAAGCTATTTAAGTGAGTCAGGACCAGAGAGGACTATGACTAGCTTCAGAGAGACCGGAACAAGCCAGGGGAATGGTCAACATGATGGCAAATGGAATTCAGTGTATTGCACATTAGAGGAAAATAATTTAACTACTCCTATTCTTTATAGACATCTAAATTAATAATCATCAGAGCTAAAAGCCCCATAGATCGCACTTTTCATCAGTAGATCTTAACTCAACTGTATCAGCTCAAGAAAGTGAGCTGAATATCATTTTAGACTGCTCAAAGAACGCCTCTGGTCAAGAGAGCTGACATACCTTAGGTTGTATAAGGAATAGGATGGAGAATAATACCAGTAATTTATAATACCTTTTCAGAGATCAATAGTGCAGCCTTATCTGGAATACTGCATGCAGTACTGGTGACCTGGTCTCAAAACGGCTATTGCAGAACTAAAGGGAGTTCAGAGAAGATCAAGGAGAATTATCAAGGGCCTGGGAAAACCTCTTGTATGAAGGGAGACTGAGAAGATTGGGATTGTTACCTTAGAAAGGAAAAATAGGAAGAATCAGGACAAAAGTATGTAAAATCATGAATGGTCTAAAGAAGGTAGATTGGGAGCGTCTATTCTTTCCGTCTCAGAACATCAGGACAGAGGGCCAGTCAATGAAATTAAAAAGTGGGAAATTCAACACAGATGAAATATGTTTTTATACAACATGTGATTAAACTGTGGAACTTGTTGATACAGGAAGTCATTGAGACCAATAATTTAACAAGATTTAAAATGGGACAGGATAACGAGAATGTATAATGTAACATGTATAACGAGAATATCCAGAGTTGTTGTAATTCATACCAAACATTTTGAAAGGGATATTAAACCTTGTTCTTCAGGGTTTAAACTATTCTGTCCCAGAGATCAGAACAAGACCCATGGGGGTGACGGGGCAGGTTATCCCACATCTGTCTACTGCAGGGTTCTTACACCTTCCTCTGAGATAGGGGCTGGTCACTGGATACTGGATGAGCTGACCTTGGATCTGAGCCCATCTGTCAGTTTCCGATAGTTCAGGTATTTCTGCCACGTGTGGCTCTTATAGCTGTTGGGTTTGGGGAAAGAGTGTTTAGGCCACAGAGCCCGTGGCTCAGTGTTAACTGCTGCTCACTGTTTCAGTCCAGATTAAACTGTCCTCACTAGACAGAGGTTCTTAGTATGAGTGGAAGGTGGGAAACTGCTAGGTCTGATGTAATGAATTCCAGTTTGGGGAATGTTGCATGCTGGGAACTCTAGGTATGGCAGGAAAGAATGGGATGATGTGGAGGAGAGCCAGTACTGTGAGAGATTCCCCAACTGCCCTGTAGGTGGCAGCAGTTTCACAAAGAAAATGCCTTTGGTCTGGGAGCAGCTGAGCAACAGGAAAGTGCAGGAAAGCAGTGTAGTTTGTGTAGTGCTCTGTATCACTAGGTGAGAGGGTAGCTGTTACGCTGCTACCAGTAATAATCTCCAGCAACACCAGCTTCAGCCCTGCTGATTGCAAAGGTGTAAGCAGTGCCAGACCCACTGCCACTGAACCGGTCTGGGATCCCAAAAGCACGTCGGGAAGCATCACTAATAAGAAGATTAGAAGCTTATCCCAGTTGCTGTTGGTACCAGGCCATCCTATTGCCAGTACTGGAACTGCCTTTGCGGTTGATAATGGCTCCTGGAGATGCTGACAGGGATTCTGGAGTTTATTTGTAAAGTCTCAGAATTGCACAGTTGTTTCGTCAAACTCCCAGGCTTTGTGATTCCTAGTTAAATTCACCTGATTGGCTGTTATCTGATGAACACCCACTCCAGTTGTACACCTGTGAAGTCTTCATCTGGAGACCACTGCCCCACTGCTGGCCTGCCTGTGGTTTTTATATTGCACCACTCTCTGAAATGTCTAATCACGCGCACAATACATTTAATAACTGATGAGAAAAAAACCCTTGATTTTTCTTTCCACTCACCTGCTATACAGTTAGACTTCTGTGTAACTCCACTGGACTGACACCAGAATCAAATCTTGAACGGCCTCTCCCCTAGTTACTTTCTCCACTTTCTGTAATAAAAAGTTGTCTCTAATCCATTCCAAAAGCATGTTGGATAATCTGTGCCCTGCTGTGTTATTTTCCTCACAGATGTGTGGGTAGTTGGAGTCCCCCATTACCACCAAGTCCTGTGTTTTGAGTGATTTTGTTCGTAATTTTAAAAAAAAGCCTCATCCACCTCTTCTTCTGGCTAGGTGGTCTATAGCAGACCCCTATTGTGACATCACCCTGGTTTTTTTACCCCTTTCATTCTTACACAGAGACTTTCAGTGGGTCTGGCTCCTACTTCTATCTCAACCTCCGTACAAGCATATTCATCTTCAAGATGCAAGGCAACACCTCCTCCCTTTTCCCCCTCCCTGTCCTTTCTGAACATGTATTTTATAAAGGCGGCAGGTACAGAAGAGCTTCTCCCCGATCTGGGGAAGGGGTGCTAGGCCACAGAGCTGGATCCCAGTGTTCATTTCTGCTTCCTTTGAGCCGTGCTTCATCAGTTTAACAGCACTCAGACAAGTGGCTGATAGAGCCTGGGCCTGGTGGAACCCAAGTGATAGAAAATGAGTCTGTACAGGAGGAGGTTGTGTTTGTTCTTGTGCTACGACATTAGGTAACATTGCAGGCATGCAGGGCC